TAGAAGTTCGAATATGGGTACGATGCAAATTCTATTATATCGCAAAATCATTTATTTATCGTAAATTTAACTAAATCATGGACTTCCAAGTACGGACGTTTATTGATAGGACCACGGAAGAACCAAAATTTATTAAAAGACACTTCTAGTTATAAAAAGACTTCTGGAAGAGTTGTTCATTAAATAAAATTAATTTAGAAAGAATCGAGTTTAGCTTGGACTAATTAATTAGGAGTTTCTGTAGCTTTTAGATAAACTATTATGCTGAGATATTTGCCGATTAAAGAGTAAATTAAGCATATAGAATTACTTAATAAAATTATTTTAACTTAGTTTTTGTATCAATAAAATACTTAATTTATGAATTTTCTTTTACAAAGTCACTCTAGCCAAATTGTCACTTTCAATCATCCAATTAATCTGACTTGACACAATAAACTGATTTCCTATGTCACGTAGACATGAATGCCACACTATAAAATGTGAATAAATAGGTTCAATCATTAAATTTAATTGTTGAACTCATTGTATCTGAAGATTAATAAATACTGAATTCATAATTTTTCACCGGAGTCGATAAAGAAGTTAGGTAAACAAGAGAGAGGACCACCAGGGGACAAGTCTTGGGATTCCTACGTGTGCACCAATTAGCAGGAAAAGTATGATGAGACATAATATCTATATATATATTACAAATATTATAATAAAACACTTGATGTTGACATGGAGTTTTGGAACATCCACTAACCACTATATATAATTCACTTGCAATGTATGCCATGAAGTTTAGTCCTAGTTGTAATTACGTCTAATTTGGCCAATAAATGTGAAAAAACTTACAAAGAATGAGTTACTGAAAGTAAAAAATATATGGCAGAAAGAAACCATTATTTTGTTAGAAATAATCAATCGGTTAATGTTTTATCAATATTTTAAATCCAAAGCTTTAGTTTCAAAATATTATACACTAATTTTCACCCAAAAATACTTTCACATTCTTAATTTGCAATTTTCCTAGAATTACTTTCGGGGTGTGTATGAATTGAGTTGGTTTAGATTTTTTAAATATCAAACTAAATTATTTATGTATAATTTTAAATTTATAAATTAAATCAAATTAATCAAAATTGATTTTTCAATTTTGAGTTTTTTTTAATAAAGTCTACCTATAAAAATATAATTACTTTGTGATTCAGATATTTTTTTTTGGTCATAGCAAGATATAACAACCTAAGGTGTTTCTTAAAAAAAACTTACAAAATATGTAATCAGCTAGTGATGATAATGAACTATTCAATAAAAATAAAATCGCATATAATAAATATTGCATATTATCGATATGGTGCGATTTATCAGTTCTCTTTGTACACCCCTAATTACTCCTATGTCAAAATATCCTCCTTGTTTTGGTATAGATTTTATCAACTTAAATAAAGATTTTCCTTAAGACGCGCTAATCACAAATTGATCTCATGATATGAATTTTGGATCAATGTGGATGAGTAATGCAAAATTCACATAAGGTATGTTATATACATAAGTCATGTTTGGTGGAAATGAGAACTCTTAGCCGCTCATAAATTAAATAAAAGAAAATGATTTTTTCGTAAGTCTTTTATAAATTAAATAGAAGAAAAGAAGAAAATGATTTTTTTTCGTATATCTGCTTATAAATTGAATAGAAAAAAAGAGAGGAGAAACTACATAATTAGACATACTTCACTACAATATATACTACTATTACCTATATTTTCAAAATAGTATTTTATCTTACCAGTAATTAAGAGTTGGAAAAAGGCATAAATTCACCATTTAACTTGTCGCGAAAAGTTAGTTACACGCTTAAACTATCATGACGACCTATTACACACTTATTCTTGATAAAAGTGTAACTAATACCACCGCAGAACTAACGTGGAAATAAAATTAAATAAAAAAGTAAATTTGACGCGTTTGAGTCAAAAATATATTTTTTTGACCCCCACCCCCCTCTATTTCATGCTCATCTTCTCTCATTCTCCTTTAGACTTCTTCTTCATTTTTTTTCTTATCAAAACTCTACAATTCCTCCCTCAATTTTATCATTACTTGAGAATTCTCCACTAATTTGACTCATACTTAATTCAGCAAAGTGATTCACCAAAAAATATAATTTTCTAATCTAAATTTTACACAATCCATTAGCATCAAAAGAACATTAAATAGTCAAACCCTAAATTCCTAAACATTTATTACCAAGAAAAGTTAATTGCTCCCCACCCCCACTTATCAAGATTATCAAGTTTACACAGTGTTGCAAATTTTGATAGAACGAGGTTTTGGGTTCAATGAAGATTTATACATAGCAAAATCAAAATTGACTCGACAATATAAACTTGATCAATATCAAACTAAACTGTTTATTTCAAGGTTCACAACCCATTACCATCAAAAACACTACTAACTAAAAAGAAAATGCAAAATAAACCAATACCAATTAAAGTTCATTTGACCCATATTTGAAAAACCCAAAAGAAAGGAAGCTGTTTAGATAGGGTTAAGCTGAGAAATATAAGTTTAGGACTCAAATTTAATGTCAATGACAATGACAAGTGGGATGAAACCGTATTGAATAATAACTTTGATTTAATTTGCTATCCATGTCCCCCATTTCTTCACAAATTTTCTAACCATCTCTGCTACTCCGTCGATCTTATTTGTCGCAATAGTTTGTTTGGTATGTTTTATAATCAGATGAAAGGATTGAAAATGGAGTCATTCAGGTAAGAAAGAAGAGAGAAAATAAAGACAAAAATGGTGTCATTCAGGTAAGGAATAAGAGAGAACATAGAGGTAAAATGGTTGAAAAAAAAGTGAAAACATGAAGAGGGAAGATAAAGGTAAAATTGGTTAGGAAAAAAAGTGAAAAAAATTAAAAAATTACACGTGTATTTTTGCATAGGATTTGGCAGGCGCGTGCACACAACTCTAGTATGTGTGACTGGTTTTGTACATTAAAAGGTGGTATTAGCTACACTTTTAACAAGAATAAGTGTGTAATAGGTCGCCATGATACTTTAAGCGTGTAACTGACTTTTCGAGATAAGTTCAAGGATGAATTTATGTCTTTTCCCTTAAGAGTTCTTTACCATATATTGAGAAAGATACACTTAGATACATGTATTTTTGCAACCAGATACATTAAAATAAGGAGAGAGAGAGAGAAGAGCGAGATGGCGAGGAGGCGATTGAGATTTTGTTAATTATCCCAAATACATGTGAATCACGCTAGAGACACACATGTGTGTGTGAGAGAGAGAGATTCACATGTATATGTGATACAAGATAAATAGGAGAGTGATGATAGAGATTTGTTATGTATTTCAGATACATGCGAATTCACATGGATACAATGTATCTAAAATAAATTTGACCACATGTATCCTGAGATACATGTATATGGACATATCTGAACGTATCTGGACGCATCAAAATCTAGTAAGATACGTAATATTGCAAATTAGAGTGTATCTAAGTAATTAACTCCTAAACTAGTGAGATTTATGTAAGTTTTCTAAAAAAAAAACCTTTTCATTTCTTGCGTGTAAAAATGAAAATCTCTCATTAAAAAAAATTAAACTTATAAAAGAAATTGTAAATGTCCGACAAAATCAATTCTCTCGCTTAATGTTTGTCAAAATTATATAGAAATAATTTTGAGATAATATTTCTCACTTACATAACAAACACAACAAATTAAGAAACCCGTTTATTTTTTAAAAAAAAATTAACAAAAATATTTTTTTTAAAAACAAGTAGTTTTTAACTTAATTTTTAGTGTTTGGTAAGTAAGAATTTTTTTAATCCCAGATCATTTATAATTAATACTCCATATGTCCCTTTTTATTTGTCCAATTTTGACTTTTTACTTGTCATTTTTAACAAATAGAAAAAGACAATACTTTTTTTAACCTATTATATCCTCAATTTATTTAGAGAGTTAACTGTAGACATTGAAATTTTGTGGGACTCTACAAGACGTGTTCAATTTAAGTTGGGACTCTACATGGTGTTCAATCCCAATTAGAATTATTGGAGGCTACTCAACCCTAAACCCTAGTTCATGCCTATATAAAGGGTACTATATTCCCTTGAAGTTGCATCTCGAATATTCCGCAAATTCAAGGAATATTCACAAATAAATCAATTTCAAACCATCCTAGTTAGAGAAATACGCCACTAACGATCCGCGAATCATGGTTAAATCTTAAGAGAGAGAGAAGAATCAAGGGAGGAACAAATTTGTACCCAAATGTTTATCAATAATTATGTTTCTTCATATTTTATTTGTGATTGCAATTTATTTTCTGTCACTTTAAAATTTGTTCCAAACATTAACATTTTTTAAAAAGATAGAACATATTTAATGAGTAAATTGATTTTGAAATTTTATCAATTAATAGGGGTAAAATGATAAATTCAGTATGTCAATTATTATTTCTATGAGAATGAAATGGTGTGGAAAGTGAGGTGGGCGGCATGAATAAGAAAAAGACAATAAACTTAAAATTTCACTATGTAACTTATTTTTTCTATTTCAAAGAAAAGTTATTTTCTTGATTTTGAGAAATTTAAATATTTTGACCAGAATACTACGCATCACATTCCATCTTAAATTTGAAGCGTGTAAAATTTAAAGCAACTCATATGTGCACGTTTTAACATTCATTAGCCACACACTCACACTCCTCCTACCCTGCTACCCCACCCACACCCCAAGAAATGAAAAGAAGACAAAAATCAACCACAAAACTTATGATAATTCCACTCAAATATCATTTAAAGTAAGAAAAAACACATATTTTTATTAATTGAAAGTATAATGTGTTTAATCAGATATAAGAAGTATTAAAATGAAATTTTATAAAAACTTGAAGGACTAAAAGTGCTACTAAACAAACTTTCTATCTCCTCTATAAATAGGCCATCAAAAATGAAAATTAAATGTCTACAAATTGAAACAAAGAAGCCAGTGGACTAGAAGAGAACTTGTTCACTTGTTTGGCAACTTTCAATCATTTGTACTTTTAACTTCCACATAAAGGTATGTCCAAAACTTCTTAGTTACAACATCAACTTCAAAATTAATTAATCGTTGTTATTTCAAGCTCAATCTATTCACACGTCTTGATAATATTATATTTTCATCCCTTCTTTTGGAAAATATATATGTTGATATTGAACTAACTTTGGTTCCTTTTTATTCATTTCTTTGAATGAGATCATGCACATTGTCAAGTGTATGCCTAATTCTTATATATCCAACAAATCAAACATTCTTTTACATTTTTAGTGTCAAAAGAAAAATAATCTTAAATATTTCAATGAGACTATCAAGCAATTTAATTTCAAGCTTTAAGTGAAGAAGACAAGAAAATTCAAAATTCACTTCTAATCAACCATTAAAAAGAAAAAAAGATGCATTCCCTATCAAAGTGATAAAGTTACTTTCCTTGACTTTGTTCCTGAAAAAGAAGTGGCTATCTACTAATTACTCACTCTATTAGAATTTCGATGACACATTTTTCTTTTTAGTCTATAAAAAAATGATATTAATTTTTCTGTATTTGAATTTAAACTACTTATTTACCATTTGTAAGATTACGTATAGTCTAAATATCTATAAGTTATTTTAACTATCTATAAGTTATTTCTTAAATTCCGTGTCAGTTAAAGTGTTATCACGTTGAGTGTATAAAAGATACGTATAAGGAAGTAGTGCATGATGATGAGGAAAAGTTAGCAACATTAATATAGACCAAATTTCAAACAACATGCATTATCATATGTGTTGTTAGCCGCACGTTGAAAAGTTTGGTCTTTTCTCTACTTTCTGTTAGTTGTTTTGATTACATATTTTTAACAATTTTAGAATGCCACTACTTCCTTAACCTTTTAAAAAAAATACTTAATAATCTTTTTCTTTCTTTTTGGGTTAACAATTGCGTGAGCACAAGTGGAATTCTTTTTGTGATATATAACAATAATTCTAGGGTAAAACACTCTATCGTTTTTCCAACAAATGATAAGGACACTAAGGGTGAGTTTGGTATGAAGGAAAATGTTTTCCATGGAAAATGTTTTCCTAGAAAATGTTTTCCTGGAAAACAAGTTGATTTTTGACTTATTTTCTCATGTTTGGTTGGTGAGTAGAAAATATTTTCCAGAAAAGATTTTTAGTGTTTGATTTATGAATGAAAAATATTTTTGAGAAATATCTTTTATTTTTACTAGAGTAGAAAATAATTTTTGAAATTGAAAATAGTTTTTAAAAACAAACTTAAATTTTTTTGGGGGGTGGGGGTGGTAGGGAGTGGGTGAAAGGGGGGGGGGTCGAGGGTAGGGGTGAAAAATTGAAATTTTGAAGTTGAAAATATTTTTGAAAAACAAACTTAAAATTATTTTTTTTGGGGGGGGGGGGTGGTAGGGGGCTGGGTGGGGGGGGGTTAGGGGTGGGTGGGTGGGGGGCTGGGTAGGAGGTGGGTGGGGAGGTCGAGGGTAGGGTGAAAAAATGAAATTTTGAATTTGTAAATATTTTTTAAAAACAAACTCAATTTTTTTTTGGGGTGGGGGGGTGACCCGAGAAGGGGGTGGGTGATCGAGGATCGGGATGAAAAAATAAAAATTTGAAGTTGAAAATATTTTTTAAAAACAAACTTAAATTTTTTTCTTTTTGAAGGGGGTTGGGGGCTGATAGGGGGGTTGATGTGGGGGGGGGGGGGAGGGGCGAGGGTAGTGGGTAAAAAAATAAAAAAATGAAATTAGAAATATATTTTAAAAACAATTTTAAATATTTTTTTGGGAAGGGGTGGGGGTAGGGGTGAGGGTGGGGTAAAAAAATTGAATTTAAAAACAAGCTTTAAATTATTTTTTATTTTTTTTTGGGGGGGGGGGGGGGTTGGTTAGGGGGTGATTTGAGGGTAGGGACAAAATAAATTAATTTTTTCAACAAAAAAATAATTGTAATTTGAAGTTGGAAGAGACTTTTGGAAAATGTTTTCCTTAAGTTTAGAAAGGAAGTCATTTTCCTTAAATTTGAGGAAAATGAGTTGATTTGGAAAACATTTTCCAAAACATTTAGCCCAACCAAACATGAGAAAATTGGAAAACATTTTCCGGAAAATGTTTTCCTTCATACCAAACACACCCTAAGTCTAAAAGAAAAGAAGATAACCAAAGTATTTCACTTATTATTATTGGTGGAAAAGGAAATATTGGTCGATACTTCCTCCGTCTTTAATTGGTATGAGGTAGTTTAAATCGACACGAAGTTAAAGAAAGAAAGAAAGAAATGCTTTTGAAATTTGTGTTCTGAAATAAGTCATAAATATTAGTGTGACTATACATCATTCTTATTAAGGATAAAATAAGCATTTTAAAAGTTAAATATTATTATAAATATGTCATTCTTTTTTAAACTAACTAAAAAGTAAAGTGAATCATATAAACTAGGACAGAGAAAGTAATTTGAATTACTTATTTCCAAATATTTAAAATTGATTCACTCACTAGGGGGGCATCGGGACATAAAAAATGTAAAAATATGAAAATTGGAATTATTTTGTATTTGATCATCTAATAAGATTGTATAAACATTGAATTTTATTATTCATTTTTATAGTTTTTACAAATTATAAGATCTTCATGTTTATTAAACAAATACGGAAATACAATTTAACAAATCAACTTTAAATTAATCTAATTTCAAATAAGTGATTTCAGCTTTTAACAACTTAAATAACTTTATTTGTTGAATAATGGGATGTCGAATGAGTACAATTAATAAATCTCTTCCTTTTATTTAGAAACCAACAAAAAAAACCTAACAACACTACTTCTGTTAAGACAATGAAAACAAAATATGAAGTACTAACAAACAGGACACCATATATGTACATATATACATACGGTAGGTATATGAGTTAGTGTCAGCATGGATTCAGCGTACGTTACTCTCTCCGTCCAATAATAATTGTCCAACAATACTTGTCAAGTTTAAAATATCAAGAGATAATTTATCTTTTATATCTATTTTACCCTTGCTATTAAATAGTACTATCATCTAACACATTTCTCAGAGCATTAAGTTTAATAAAGTCAAAGGATAAAATAGTACTCCATCTGTCCCTAATTACTTGTCCACTTTTGAAATGACACACCTATTAAGAAAATAATTATTGACATAGTGGGTTTATCATTTTACCCCTATTAATTATGAATTGGATGAATAAAAATTTAAGATTTTCAAAAAGTTCTACCTTTTTTAAAGTAATTAATTGAGGGTATAATAGGTAAAAAAAAATGTCCGTTCTTGATTTGTCAAAATGAACAAGTAACTAGGGACAACTGTAAAAGGAAAAGTGAACAAGTAATTAGGGACAGAGGAAGTAACAGATTGTTTCAGTGTGCCAAGTTGGACAACTATTGTTGAATAGGGAAAATATTTTTCTACTTTAATTTAGGTGATAGTTGATACTGATAAAATTTTAAAAGTTTACTAATTTTTTTTTTATATTTTAAATATTGTACTAATTAAAATACTTTATAATATTTTTTACTTACTTTTTAAATATATAATAAATTTTAAAAATAAGGTACATATTTAAAATAATTTATTTTTTTAAATATCCTTGATTAGAAGTGGCATACCAACGAACAACCACTTGCTTCTGGCCTCTTGTAGTTAGTAGTTAATTAATAATGAGCTCTCTCTAATTCCAATCTCTGTCCCCGGCCAGAGATTGGAACCTTGTACTTGATTTTTGGCCCTAATAATAATAAGCACCTTTTGTCCCAAAATAGTCACCATTTAGTCTAGAGAGGATATATGATGTTTAGTTTATGATTTTTTTTCTTAGGAAATTCACTTAAACCATCTATTTAGAATCTATTAGGCAAAAAAGTTGTGATTCAGAATTCATAAATTTAATTTTTTTGAATCCATCTGTAGTGTGGATCTCACTAAACCACACAAATGTACGCATTTTAGTGCATTAGGGCATGGTCTAGTGAAAAATGAAGTATTTAGAGAAGAATCATGAGGTTTCAGATTCATGTTTTTTCAATAGAAGTAAAAAAAGATTAAAAAATTTATTCTCATCTTCATGAGCTTCGCTGGATAAAATTGCTCGATACTTATGTTTGTTAAGAGATAACACAGAGAAATAATTGAAGTGCATGCGCATAAATTAATTTGGACACCATTAAAATAAATCGTAGGATAAATAACGAAGGTTATCTAAGTGAGCCTTTAACTAGACAAGAAGCTAGCATTCCGTGTCGGTGCATATGAAGAGCCTAAAACTAGAAATTAAATCATATTATTTAGAACTTAAAACAAATACTCTAGCTTTTCGAATCGAGATCGGAATATCAAAAATTTTAATAGCTTGATTCGTTAATTATCTGAACTTTCATCTTACTATTGAGAACTCGATTTTCAACTTGTAATTTCCTCCGCTGTTTCCCTATCCCCTGCCCGTAATTTTTAAAGAAATATTGACCACATTAGTCTTCATAGACCATTTTCCTATTATTATTTTTTTATCGTGAAAAACAAGGCATTCTTTTCTTAAGGTTTAATTTTCCTTGTTGATTATTTCCATGATCTTTCCTCCTTTTTTTTCTTTTGGCCTAAAAATGATACTGCACTTATCTAGTGGAGTACCTATTCTGTACATGGGGTAGTCGATCTCGTTCATAGTATTTTAATGCCAACGAGGATCGAGACTCCTACGTACTGTAAGAATATTTTATATTATCAAATATAATTTAATATGTTATAGCAGGCTACATATCATTTGTCCTATGTTGTTAATAACACATTAATAAAGTCATTTGTAATTATCTTTTAAATAACTTAGTTATAATATTTTAATTATATAGTCAATATATATAACTTAAACTCTATTTAAAGACCGGTCTCTTGAATCGAGAAGGCTTATTTGGAGACGGCACACATGAACAGATATACCTTTCTATGTTGGTTTTGTTGATTCATCATCTAATTCTCTTCATTAATATAAAAATTCTGAAAGAACAGAAAAAATATAGTTTTTAATTTACTGATATGGAAAGGTCTATTTTTTTGTGCAAATTTTGCTTTGTAAACAACTTGGGGAAATAGAACTGAGGCAGGTTCATTCCTGCCTACTTTGTCTGTCCATTCCTATTTGTTCCTTTTAATTCTTTTAAACAAAAAAGAAATAAAATTATAGTCTACAGTATAACACGATCATATGAATTAAGACACAAAAAATAGTTGTGCTTTCAGTTACAAAAGCTACACATTTTTGCTTGATTCTTTAATTATGATTAGTATTTCCTCTAGTCCAATATAAATAAATTATAAGGGTGTGTGTCAAAATAGATTATCAAGGTGTGACACATGTATATATATATATAGTCATTCTTTGAGATTTAAAAATAACTGAAAACTCCATTAAAAAGAAGTGTAATTTTGAAAATATATGCTATATATTTTTTATACATACTTTTCTTTTTACTATGTTTCAAAATGAATAACCCCTTTCTCTTTTTGACAATATTTTACTTTCAGTTTTCCACTATGTTTAAAATCATAAAATTAGAGGACATTTTGATACATTTGATATAACTTTAATTTAGAACTACAAAATTATAAAAAAAAATCTTTTTTATTTTCTTAAATTTTGTGCTAGACAAATTAGGTTATTCTTTTAGTAACGGGAGGGGTATTATTTTGGTCATTACTATTTTGTATTTTTATACAGGAAAAGATGCTTATATTTCCTACCTAGTCCTCCTTTTTTTTTTGTTATAAATAAATGAATTAGAGGAAAATACGTGTCATCAAGATATTACGGAAAAGTACAATAAGTGCATGCCTAGATGCGTTAAACTCACTTATTATCTTCATTAAACTTAACCTATATCTATACAACCATTTTACTACCAGTTTCATTTAATTCTTTGTCCTCAACTTTTATTGAAAACTTAATAGAGAATTTAGTCATACTCTAAATTCATTCACTTGTTAATTTTACTCTCCTCCATTCCTTCCTTCCATCAGGTTCTTTTCAAATTACTCATTCTTTCTATTATTTTCCAAACAATTTGTGACCAAATTTTGAATTTTTGATGATTTTTAGGTGCACTAGCCAACGCGTTTTGCACGATAAGTTATCAAAATCAAGGACTCATGGCTGAAGTTGGCAATGTAGCTTGCACTGAAAGAAGATGGAACATACCAATCTTTGTTTTCTTTGAAGACATTAGGTACATTTTGTCAAATATTTGTTGATTTTTTTTCTCCAAACATTGAATTTTGCTCGGTTTAATCACTTCATGTAATTTGTTTTTCTTGTGGTGTTTAGGAATGTCTTTAAATTCGACGATCTTGGCATGGAAATCCTACGTATCGCGTTCCCTGCAGCTCTTGCATTAGCTGCTGATCCTATTGCTTCTCTCATTGATACAGCATTCATCGGTCATTTAGGTATGTACGTTTAGGATTAAAGTTCAGGTAGTCAATCGAGTGGTATCAAAATTCACCTCAATGTGAACATAGGACTTTTGTATTCACAAAGGACGTGTTAATTTAGTCATGAAAATAGGACAGATACAATCTTCATCAGTATTAGTAAGGACAGCACGCACAGTCACGTTTTTTTGTTTGTTAGAAGTTTAAATCATTAAATGTAAGCATTAATAACTTGACTATTTTGCCCTTACAATTATTTTTTATCATTGCAGGGGCAGTTGAAATTGCAGCAGTAGGAGTTTCAATTGCCATTTTTAATCAAGCCTCTAAAGTCACAATTTTCCCTTTAGTGAACATAACTACTTCATTTGTTGCTGAGGAAGATACTGTTAGAAGAATTAGTGAAAAAGAAGCAAAAGCTGATTTGGAGAAGGGTAAAATGGAGAAGAATGATTCAACAAAACAGCTAATACTAACTGGTGATAATAACAATGACAAGACGGAAACCAAAGAGACTGTGTTAGCACCAGGTATATCTTACGAGTTTAACTTTTATACACTTGACAGTCAATTTTTCATGATAACTAAACAAAATAATGTTACGTTTACAGAATTTAAGACCACAAAATGTGAGTCTTTGGATAATAAAAGTAAAGGCAAACTCAAACATGTGAAGCGACATATTCCATCAGCTTCAACTGCAATTCTCATGGGATGCATTCTTGGCATTCTCCAGACGATTTTCCTTATATTTCTGGCGAAACCAATTTTAAGCTTAATGGGTGTGAAATCTGTAAGTACAACATCATTAGTACATATTAAATTATGTGACCATCTCATCAGAAAGAAAGAGTAACATGGTTTTATTTAACGAAATCATACAGGATTCTCCTATGCTTTCTCCAGCAAAGAAGTATTTGACCTTGAGGGCAATTGGTGCCCCTGCAGTCCTTCTTTCTTTGGCAATGCAAGGCGTTTTTCGCGGTTTCAAGGATACTAGAACTCCGTTATTTGCTACTGGTAAGTAGTATTTACTCTGCTATTGAACCAACAACTACTTAAAATACATCAAATAAAATTAAATTAAGATAATTGCTCCAACTCTTATCGTTATTTTTCTTCAATTGTATCAGTTGCTGGAGATTTGACAAACATAATTTTGGACCCAATCTTTATTTTTGTTTTCCGTTGGGGTGTTAGTGGTGCTGCCATTGCTCATGTTCTTTCTCAGTAAGTCCGTTTTTTGAATCAAAACTAATTTCAAGTTATATAGTCACACAATTTCTAATATCACTCTGTTGTGTTTCCTTTAGGTACTTGATATCGATTATTCTCCTATTTAAATTGATGACAGAAGTTGATCTATTACCTCCTAGCGCGAAAGATCTGCAGTTCAGCAAATTTCTCAAGAATGGTAAGTAAATGATAGAAGGCGAAAAAGGGCATATAATTATAATATACATACATGTATTCTTAAGATACTGAAACGACTATCATTACTGGTACCAAATCAACAACGATTCATAAGTACGTTAATTAAGTTGATAAACGTTGATTGCTGTAGGATTTTGGTTACTAGCAAGGGTGATAGCTGTTACATTTTGTGTGACATTGGCTGCATCGTTGGCTGCACGATTAGGCACAACACAGATGGCTGCATTTCAAGTTTGCTTACAAATCTGGCTAACATCATCTCTGCTTGCTGATGGATTAGCTGTAGCAGGACAGGTAAAAAAACACACCAACTACACATTTAGGCAATAATAATGTCACTATTAAGTAGAAATGAGACTTCTAATTATCGCGGTTTTCTTCTTTTCCAGGCAATACTTGCTTCTTCATTTGCTGGGAACGACTTCCAAAAGGCAAAGGCTGCAGGAGTTCGAGTCCTACAGGTACTGTTCAATAAGTTTGGCTTTAGGCTACTAATTTTATAAAACGCGCCTTATATAGTGATACTGATAAATTTTCTCATTATGCAGATGGGATTAGTGTTGGGATTCGGACTTGCTATAGTCGTTGCAATTGGGTTATACTTCGGATCAGGAGTCTTTTCAAAGGACAAAAATGTTATCCGTTTCATAATCATTGCCATCCCGGTACAATTCAATAAACATTTTTTCCGATTCTTTTAATTTTCTTTCAGTATTATTAACTTATTTTTCAATCGATCAGTTTGTTGCTGGTACACAACCAATCAATTCAGTGGCATTTGTGTTAGATGGTGTCAACTTTGGAGCAAATGATTTTGCATACTCTGCATATTCCATGGTTAGTTAGTTAGTTTAGACAACTAATTTACCTTTTGAATTTAATTACCGCTTTAATTAATGTAAGTAATTTTTATGTAGGTTTTGGTTGGTGCACTAACTATAACCTGTGAGTTTGTCCTTTCAAAAACCAATGGCTACATTGGTATATGGATTGCTTTAGCCATATTCATGGTCCTGCGTACATTTGCCGGTTTATGGAGGTAATCTGTCATTCGTTACCTGAAAAAATAAAATCATAATAAGATACAAACTTAATTGACTCGATATTGATTACAGGATGGGGACAGGAACAGGACCATGGCGTTTTCTGCGGGTTCCACCGATGTCAGCAGAAGTCAAGTCATAGAGTTGCTAGAGCACTTATGTGACTATATATATTATTCCATCTATTATTTTCCTTGGGAGTTATAATTATTTTCCTTGCGTATAGGGTAAAAATTCTACAGAATTTTTTACTCATATATATGTTACTATAATTTAATAATAATATATAGTGATGTCATTTTCATATGATTTTGACATTTTTGTAATGGAATATGGCTAGCAGCTAGATATATATATGTAGAATATATCTTGGCATATAAACTTTGAAATGTTTTTGGTGTGATATATTCATGAGTCATGACATAATGTCCTTGAATTTTCTTTTTTTTGTTGTTGCTGAAAACAAAATTTCCTCCTTAGTTCATCCGTGAAAATGAATCTCCAAATAAAATTGGAAATTGACTTTTTCTCTGAAGTTGAACTCAAAAAAATACGTTTGGTCCTAAAATTTTGAAAGAATTATCAAGAACAACTTTAATTTATAATGGTCAAATACAACTTCAACTTTCAAATATAATTTTTCACTGATTTATTTTTTTCAGATTTCACCAATATCCTAGATAATTCACGTTATCGAACATCTCTAGTCAAAATAAGTCTGTAAACTCCATGTCTTTTTCCTTGTAATTAGTCATGCATTTATTTATGGAATTTTTACAAAAAATTATAGTTTGATGCAATATATCACATTTACGTACTTAATATTTTCACATAACACCTATATAGCCTCTCTTTTTTTTCTTTTCAACAAATACTTGTACAATATTATGTATTTAATATACACCACGTATAAATCATGTACAAGATATGTTTTTACACTTTCACATTATAATAGTACTTTATTTTAAAAAATTGTGTTTCGTCTCCAATAAACTTTAACTACGAACCTCCAATAAATGGATCAAATCTTTTTCAAATATCTTCAAATTTAACTACACATGTCGCGCGAACGAACCACAACACAAATTTATTTTTAAAAATCTTAAAATTCAAATCACAAATAAAGTTCATCAAGAACATGTTCACAATGCCTACATTATTTTCTCCGAAGGTTCACACAGGTAATTTTCCCTTTATTTATTGTATACTTTGAGAGGATTGATCATTATAATAAATGGAGTATAGTTTAAAGCTGGCTAATCAATAATTTCTGACTAGAGTCGTTACTAATGTCGTCGATAATACAGGATGCCAGCTATATCAAGTCCACATTCATATGAAAAGATATATAGTAATATTATTTTATTTATTTTTATTTCCATTGTTGATCGGGAGCCTACATTGGAGTCTTGACTAAATTTGAATCGCGGACTGTAGAATTCATTTGGGGATAACGCTCCCAATAAGATTTGCTCCATACGCAGAGCTTGAATCCAAGACCTCTGGTTAAGGTGAAACAGTAATATTATTTTTCTATGATTATTGATGTTGATTCATGATATAGAAGCTGAAAGAATTAATAAAAATAATGGAAAAGGGTCAAAAATACCCTTAAACTATTCGAAATAGTTCATATTTACCCTTAAACTATATTTTGGCTCAAAACTACCCTTTCCGTCAAACTACTGGATCAAAAATGCCCTACTTATTAACGGAAGTTGTTAAATGCCAAAATTCTACCATGTGGATGCCACATTGCACGCCAATAGGGTTCCACTGCCACATAGACTAAATCCCTAAATCTTAATTACTCTTTTTTCCCCCTCATTTCATTATTTTCCAGAAACGATTACACCCCTTCTCCCTCATTTCGCGGCTAGGGTTTCACAGTTTTCTTCGTCGCTGGGTTTCAAAGTGGATATTCGTGGTTGTAGGTTAGTAAATCTTTTTTCTTATTTTATTATGTTTACAACCACGAATATCCACTTTGACACCCAACCCCGAAGAAAGTTATAAAACCCTAGCTGCGAAATGAGGGGAAAGTTGTGAAATTCTAACTATCATGCTTTGAAATCGTAAACATAATAAAATAAGAAAAAATATTTACTAACCTACAACCACGAATATCCACTTTGAACTCCTGCCCCGAAGAAAGCTATGAAACCCTAGCCGCAAAACGAGGGGAAAGTTGTGAAATCCTAACTATCATGCTTTGAAATCGAAAACATAATAAAATAAGAAAAAAGATTTACTAACCTACAACCACGGATATCCACTTTGAAACCCAGCCACGAAGAAAACTATGAAACCCTAGCCGCGAAATGAGGGAGAAAGGGTGAAATTGTTTCTGGAAAATAATGAAATGAGGGGGGAAAAGAGTAATTAGGATTTAGGGATTTAGTCTATGTGGCAGTGGAACCCTATTGGCATGCAATGTGGCATCCACATGGCATTTAACAACTTCCGTTAATAAGAAGGGTACTTTTGACCCAATAGTTTGACGGGAAGGATAGTTTTGAGCCGAAATATAATTTAAGGGTAAATATGAGCTATTTCGGATAGTTTAAGGGTATTTTTGACCTTTTTCCGTTTATATGTGGCAGTGGAACCCTATTGGCGTGCAATGTGGCATCCACATGGCATTTAACAATTTTCGTTAATAAGAAGGGCACTTTTGACCCAATGGTTTGACGGGAAAGATAGTTTTGAACCGAAATATAGTTTAAGGGTAAATATGATCTATTTCGGATAGTTTAACGGTATTTTTTGACCCTTTTCCATTAAAAAAAAAACTACTCACATGTATAGTATATAGTTGACTGATGAGGTAGTTTTTGACATGGGGTCAATATATGTATATATATTGTGTTTGTCACATGTATATATATAGTCATATATATACTAGGGTAATTTGGAACTGAGGCAGGCTCATTCTCGTAACATATATGCATGCAAATTTGGACCATGCCAATTTATTTATATTAATTATTATTTGAAAATGTACGATAACAAAGGAATTAGTGAAAGTTACGGTCATATATAAGTTGTTTGACGTAATATAACGACAGTTTAGGGCTAAATAATAAATAGAGTTTTAAATACATATGTGGTTCACAGGACAAGCTTATTAGGTAAATTTTCGCAGAACTATGACGTTCATCGTCAATTTAATTTGCTTAGACTTATCGGCTATATAAGTATGATCGTACATTACTCTAATCACTTATATAACTTTTTTTTGGGTTATGGACCGGCCAGGCATTTCTACTTCTTGTAGTTTAGTTAAAACTTTTTCCCTCCATTCGTTTTTTAGTTGTCATGTATGTTTTTCGAGAGTTAATTTTATTAGAAAACTTTAAAGAATTCACCTAAGATCACAAGTAAACATTAGAGAGATATTAATATAGAAGAATGATAGAAACACTAACATTGTTCCATTGCAGTAAATACAACAACTTGATTGAAGAAGGCTTGATCTTCTAAGTATGGATACTGCTCTTGTTTAATGTTCTTTTCTGAGCTGGAGAGAAAAAGAAAAAATATATCTTCTGAATAAACCTTTTAAAGTATTCTAAAGTGCCGTTTCAAGAAAGGTTTAGGAAAGGTGTATTTTCATCTTGAAAAAGTACCTTTTCACATTTAAATGGTATCTTTTCAATAAGTCTCCATCAAACTTAAGAAAAGGTCTATGTGTTTCAACATATCTAAATAATAAACCCTATACTGATAGATATTTATTTTTAAAGTCCCAAACTTTAATACACTATAAGATCATACAAAGGGCTACTTTAAGGATAGCATATTTGTAGAAATCTCACGTCTAGGACTAGAGAAATCAAGGATTGTATTAATGATTATAATGTTGAGTTACAAAGCTCCTTATATAGGAGAAGAGTCATATTCTAGTTATACTAGGAATCCTACTACAAACACAATTATTTACATGAGAAGTATTGTATTATAACTCAAATACCATATCCTAGTCGACTCCTATAATATACAGTAGCTTAGTCGTACATAACTTAGAATTTAGTAATCTAGTCCTAGTATGACTCTAACTCTAACTTGTCAGCCTGCTTCAATGGACCTATTCCTTCAACATGTTCCATCAGTCTTCAAACTTCCTTCAACAATATGGTCTACGTATAAAATATTAATATATGAGTCCACAAAATAGAAATTACTAACAATCTCCACTTAGACTACATATATTTCTAAAGAATCATTCATAGATGAACTTTGTTGTGCACAAACTTTTGTTATCTTAATTTAAATATCTCAAAACAATTTGATCCATCGATAATACCAATATTGGATCAAAGCAGTTTTCCTAACATATATTCGTAACTAATCCCATTAATGGTCGCTACAAGAAAAATGGGAATTACATGGAAATTTTTCTGGGGATTATGTATGAAAATTCGCAGGAAAATAAGCTTCCTGCGGATTTTCCTATAAAAAAGAATCTGGAGGTAAAACCTTCGTAGGTAATTATTTCCTGTGAATTTCAAAATCCCCAACTAATTTACATAGGGATTTAAATTCCGCAGGTAAATTACTTGCGAATTTTCTTACAAAATATACAAAAGATAAAAATGAATTTTCTTACCAATTTATTCGCAAGTAAAGCCGCAGGAAGATATTCAAATAAATTTCTTTAAATAATATTATTATTATCTCCTATTTATTTATTTATTTTATTATTCATTGAACCCCCTAGACACATATATACCTACCCATTCATATTTCTCACACAACCACCCACCCATTGAACAATTTCATAAGTGCCCAATCCCCCATGAAATTCAATTTAATTGCCCTTCTAATGCAACCTCCCCATGAGATTCCATTCCCACTCAATTATAATTGCTCCTTGAAATTTCATTCTACCAAAATTCAAGTTATAGCATTATAAATGCAAAAATTTTGGTGTCTTTTTTCGATGTGGTACAAAAGATACCATGACACTACTACACTAATTTTTTTGTGTCTTTCTCCAATTTGATTAATTTTTAAAGCAAAATTTAATTAATTCAATTGAGTATTTAAAATATCATTTAGATATTCATAAATTCTACAAAAGTACTCTTAATTCATCTCATATCAATATGGTAATAAAATATATCTTAAACATTGGCTAAAGTTCATGTAATTTGACTCTTAAAAAGT